TTAATCCATGCCTCAGTAACCACTAACCAGCAATTTACAAATATCCCAGACCTTGCAGAAGACAATAACAAAGATATAACAAGAGGACTGAAGCTACTAATTCAAAGATTTAGATAAAAACATGCTAACTAACAGATTAATCCACCCAACTACAACCAATACTTCGTGTGTCAGAAATATTTAATGTATTGACAGAAAATAAACTGTACACATTAGACAATAAATCAAGATTGAAGCCAACAATTAAAAAAATAAGAACTTTTCAAATTTGGTAACAAAACTTAAATAAAATGTTACAAATCATGATCTCAGTAGATCCACAACTCAAACTCTTGGGCACATGAAATTAAACTAATTGTTGTTTAGTTTCAGCTGTACTGGAAACATCCTGCTGTGATTTATTACTCTTCGCACAGAGAGAATCCAGAAGTACATTAATAAAACATAAAGCACATGTGAAAAGCTTTGAAGCCAAGATTGTTAGGATAAGTAATTGTAATGGTATAATTTTAATAAATATTTTTAAACTTTTTATTTCACTGTATATTTTACGAAAACAACTTTTGATATTTATTTAGGAGGTTCTGGAGGTTATACAAATAAAATGTGAAACTGTAATATGAAAAGAAGTATTTTAATTCTTAACATGAAAATTAATTTTCCCTCAGACTGATCTAGAATGGGTTTCTCATTTGTAGAAACCACACAGAATGTGTAGCCTTTGAATACCTTGGATCAGAGTTCTACAAGGCAGATGGGTGCTCAAAGGAGATGAGACATTGGCTGGCAACTAACTGAAGCATTAATGAAAATCTGGTAAGACACAATGAAAAACATACTAAGCTGAAATTGCTGAAAACAACCACTTTCTGACTGTGAGCTATGGACATCAACTGATGAAAAGAGGATGAGATGCTACAAATGTCTTTTAAAAATATCTTCAGTGAAAAGGAACACCAATCAACTGGTGCTTGGGATATTGGGAAAAGAAAGTTGACCTACTTTGATCAAAAGATGCAGCATGAAGGTTTTTAATGATTAATCTTGGATGGTGAGGTTGAAAGGATCAACCAAAATTATGATAGGAGGATGAATTCAATCTTACCATAAAAATGAGTCTCGTGGACCCATGTTAGAGGGTGAATGACAGATCAGATTGGCATGGTGCTGGCTATATTTAGCATTGAATGTACCTATAACTGAGCCTAAGGCTTAAATTCTGTTGAATTCCAATATATTTTTAAGTCATTACCAAAATTCTTTAAATGGACTATCAATTTGACTAATCTTTTAACCACTATATAACCATGATACCATACATACTATAACTCTGAATGTAATAAGTGTAGATTCTCAAACTTTGACAAGCTTTTAGTAAACATATACAAGCATACATTTTGTAGCAAAGTATTTTATTAAAGATTTGTCTGTTACTTTAAATAGACTACAAAGTCAACCTGAGTAAGGTGGTTTTCATGCTCTGAATAAAATGACTTCTATCCATCTTACAGTTTTCTTATTTTATTTGCATAACCTCTAAAGACTCCTAAATAAATATCAAAATTTTTTGGTAAACTTATTATTTTTTCTTACTTTCTCTATCCTAAAACTAACTGTAACAAAAGTACAAGTAGCAGAAATTGAAAGGTATGAAATAATCAAAAATACCTTTTTTGTTAATAGAATGATTACAGATCTTAACAGACAATAAGAATTATTTATTCTAAACATAGGCTCACATTTATTTTCATTTAATTTGAACTGAGTCTAACTAGCATAACAAAGCAATAAGTCACTCAAGGAGAGCTTAAGGTAAACAACTATCAAGTTAAATCAGTGATGGTAGCCTGTGTGAGTATCAAGGAATACTTTTTTTTTTCAGTTTTTTTACAGTTAAGTAGCATTTATTTTACCCTTAAGGTGTTTATTATTTTTTTTGTTGTTCAAAAAATAATTCATATAGCTTTGAAATATGCATTTTGTAGCATGCGTGGGTTGAACAAATATAGACATCTCTGAAAAGCAAGGAGAGGTTAAAATTTTAAGTACTGGTTTGTCAATATCTTTAGTACGTGCTTCTAATTATCTGTACACAAAAAAACTAAATGAAAAGTCAGCACCACTGTGTCATACGATTCAGAAGTGCAGATTGAGAATACATTTTAAAATTTTTCCCTTTAAGTTAAGAAATCCAAATTTAGATAATATAAAAATTTGAATTATAAACTATGTTTTGATGCCATATTCATTAACCCTTTTGCATCAGGTAAGTCAAAAAGTGTGCAAAGTAACTAAAATGTAAAACTTATTAGGTTAGATTACATAAAAAAGTAAAAATATTTTCATGAGGTAACCTTGCAAGCAGCTGATGAGTAGCCCATGTGTTATGTAATTCAATAATGTAATGTGAGCTACATGTTTGCAAAGAGATTTACAACTTGTTTGGCAGGAATATTAGTTACAATTCAAAATGCAATAAAACATGTACCAAAAACGTATACTGTTGCAAGCTTTAAGCTACTTAGAATAAACAATTGTGGTTTCCTATTACAATTAGCAGTCATTCCAGAATGAAAAAAAAAGGGTAATTTAGAATTCTTTTCTACAAGATCAGTCAAATCAACCAACCTTGTATAGAGCTATAGTATAGAAAACAATAGGTAAAATAGTTTTTTTCAAAAAAACAACAAAACATTTGATAGTTGTTTAGAAGGTTTTAGAAATTATGCAAACAAAATTTGAAAATTTTCAGATGAGGAAAAGTATTTTTAATCTTAACATGAAAATCGTTTTGCACTCGGAACAATCACCAATCTGACAATGTATAATTACAAAGAAAGTTTCAAGTAAAAATACTTAATTAAAAATCCTGATTTTCTGCACACATAAAACTTTTAAAGGATGCTGAAAACTTGCCAAATTTCATGAAGAAACATTAAGTAGTCTCAGAGTATGTATACCACAATGGTTACAAGGTATGTAAAATGCAAGAGCTCATTGCAACAAGGTTAATATACGTTGACAATAAAGTAGTTTAATTAAATTTTGAATGTAACTCTATAAAAAGGTTATAACAAGCACACTTTGACTCTCCCAAGTCTGTAGGGTTAATAAAATATTTCAAGAGATAACACAGACAAATAAAAAGCAAGAGTTAAAAGTGGCACATCTAAATACTAT